AACTACCGCTCATCGAAAAAAGAAAATTGGTAGACAAATTAGATTAATCGAAATCACATTGAAATAGGGCAAAAACAGAAAACTTTAAAGTGCATTTGGTTTCTAACATTAAAAAATTTACCTCATAAACGAATCACAACACTCGAATAGAGAGTTTGCAGAAAAAAAGACATAATTACCTAGTGCACATGAAAACAATCTTAATTTTAAAGGAGGTCCTTAAGTTAGCAAATGGTTGTAGATTTTGTAGAAGAAACATACACAACATCGTCGAATGCAGACGAAAACAACAAGTCAATCAAAATAACCATCAAAGCACGCAGACCTTAGAAAATTTTTTCATCGACATATGAAGAAAGATCAACTTCTTCCAAATAGGCATATTAATTTTAAAATATTTCAGAAAGGCCATTTCAGACTAACTACAATAACAACAGATCAAAAACTCCATATACTAAATTTTTTGAGGAAGTTCGCCATATAGAATCAAATCTCATTATAAAACACAAAATAGAAGTTGCCGTTTTAATAGCCACAATAGTAAAGACATGAAAAAGTTACTCGAGATCAAATTCGATCACAACTAATTTTTCTATTCAAAATAGGGATCCATCATATTCCGACCATTGCAACGGAAACTTACACTAAGGACCATTTCAGAAATTTTTCGCGCAATCGTGGTAGAGTCTATTCAACTGACCTTTCCAAAATGTTTGCAAGCAATCATTAAACTAGTAGACATGGTAAGTAAAATCGCAAGAAACTCTAAAATATATATTAGTAGAAACAGTTGATATGAGAACAGATCATCAAGAATTTTTTCTAAATCATCACATCGAAACAATTCAAAAACTCAAATAGACAGTATCAAAGTCATGAAAGTAGTACACCAAAACATCAACCACAAATCAACTAAGAACAATCTACAACTGAAACAAACCCTGACCCAAATTCATTGAAAGTGATGAAATTACGATTCATGTATATCACAATGCAATTAACTAAACGCCACAATCAAAGAGAAAGTTTGGACAATACCATTATGTTTAATAAATCCAAAAAATTGAAATTTTCAACCTCGAGACATTGAAATAGGTTTTTCAGCCGACTCAGGCGCAGAAACAAAAATCAAAATCATAAATAAACGGAATGAATTTCAATTACTAAATCCAAACATCATACACTAAGTTACATTAAGTAAATTAGCTGTATCAAAAGATAGAAGTTAGCAAAACTGTGTAAAAATTCAATTATACCTCGAAACGACCACAACCACCGAGAAAAAAATCTCTAGTGGAACTCTTCAAGATAATAATACCATATCACAGACATCATGCATATAAAAAACAGGCATACCGTTTATCACGGGATATATACCAACAATTAATATACTGAAAAGGAAATTTTATATATAGGATAAATTTTAAAAAAAAGTAATACTTCAGAAACATTCTTCAGGAGATTACACAAAAAAATCTCCAATCTTTTAAAAAATTTTATCACATAAATAACCAGCAAAAAACATTCCAAAATCAATAACAGGTTGTGCATATGACTTCCAAATTCCTCTCAACTCTATCAAAACAACAAAAATCTAAATACGGAAAAAATACAGATGTGCTACCTCGAACTTAGATCAATCCACAAACAATTTCGAGTAAAAATATCATGAATTAAATATGCAAAAGACACAAACACAGATATTTTCGAATAACAACTCGTCATAACAAAATAAAACTTCCCTGAGCACTCTTTGGATATTGCGAAACAAACACAGCATTACATCCACTCCCAGAAAAGGCATATAGAATAAAAACTAACTTAAGACTATTACACATTTGTCAATCTACCATGCTAAATGAAGAATCATCTTTAAATATTATTATTAAAAAACCAAAGCAAAATACAAATTATTTTAGAAGTAAATTATTGTTAAACGATTCTTGAAATCTCAAATTACACAACGAAACAACAATATTCTCACTATGTTCAATTTCCAAATTTCTCAAATAAATCAAGAATAATTTGAACATTTATTAAACTTACAATTAAAATTCCCTAATCGGTTTTTCATTCAAATCTTCCACTAAAACCAAACGTAGTTTTCAGAAAATCAATGCGCACGTAAGGTTGCCTTGCACTCAAATGATAAAGTTAGGAGAAATAGACATACATAAAAAAAATAAAATTATCTTCCCAATTATTACAGTTTTTTCAACCAAACTGAAATACCCTTATAAACCCAGTTATCGTGTTAGCAAAAAGAGAATCTTTGAAAGTAGTCATCGACGCAAGATTTTCGAAGTCGGTCATAGATGAATCATAAAGCAACAGGCCAATAGAAAAAAAACAAGATATTTTTAGAAAGATCAACGGAAAATACAACACGAACAGCTGACACGAACAGCGCATGAAATCAAATGCCTCTAGATGAAAAAATCCAGCTGCCCTAACACAAATTGTAATTGCAAACCAACAAAACTATTTCAACAGACTTTTTTATGGAATTTCCTTGTTAACAGCAGCTTTTTCTGCACTTATGACCAAAATTTTTAGACCACTTAATCTATGTAAGCTCATCACCACATACTTAGACGCTGCTTTTGTACAATCGCAAACAAAATAAGTTATTTTTCAAGTTTCTGATAAATACCGCCACATCCTTTAAGTAGAAAGCAGCCCCAGACAAATCACATTTTTCCTCAACTGTTCCCTTCTCTAAATTCATCAGCAGCTCCTTGTTCAATCATTTTTTTTATTCACAGTTGATTTTCTTCAATGGAGATTTGCGTCTGGCAATTTTTATGTGAACTCCATTCTCATGATCTCAACAATAAGCCAAACTTAACTTGAAACATCCATTTCAGCCATGAAAACCCCTGAGACTGACGCGAGCACCTTGGCGCTCAAAAAGTATCTTGAAAAACTGACTGAGAACGTAAGATTATTTTTTGAAGCGGGAAAAATTTTTCCAGAAATAAATTGGAATACAGAAAGAGAC